ATAATTTTATAATTTAAAACGAACATTTATAATTATTATTTATATGTTAAAATATTACCCATCGACATTATAATAAAATGATATATTTATAATTAATTAATTATATAATTTTAAAATAAAAACATTTAAATTATTGTAACTTAATATTAACTCACCATAGTAAAATTTTGAAATTTTTCTAAGTCTTTTTTTTGAATGGTAAGTTTTTATGGTTACATTAAAAATAAATGGTTGTAATTTTAAAAAACCTTAAAATTAATAGTTATATCTTTTGTCAATAGTAAGTATCGAACTTTGGGCTCATATTGAAAATTTTAAGTTGCTCTTCCTACGAGTACCATATTAAATTTATTAAGTTGTAGTCATATTTTTTTGGGTAAATTATATCGATAACAATTAAGTTATTATTGATTATAAACATAAAATTTAATTATCTATCGATTGGTGACATTTATAGCTAACTAAATAATCATTTTAAAAATTTAAATTTAAATTTCACTCATCTTGTAACCATTAAAAATTGAATAGTTTTATTTTTAAATAATAGGTCACTATTTATAAAAACTAAAAAACTGATAGTTATACAGTTTGTACACAGTGAGTATCGAACCCAGAGGTCATTATAAAAATTAAAATTTAATTACTCGTAGGAAGAGCAAAATTGTAACCCAATTTTGTTTATTAAATTACATAGATAAACATTAGATTATTATTTATAATAATCATAAAATTTAATTATCTATCGATTGGTGACATTTATATCTAATTAAATAATCATTTTAAAAATTTAAATTTAAATTTCACTCACCTTGTAACCATTAAAAATTGAATAATTTTATTTATAAATAATAGGTCACTATTTATAAAAACTAAAAAACTGATAGTTATACAGTTTGTACACAGTGAGTATCGAACCCAGAGGTCATTATAAAAATTAAAATTTAATTACTCGTAGGAAGAGCAAAATTGTAACCCAATTTTGTTTATTAAATTACATAGATAAACATTAGATTATTATTTATAATAATCATAAAATTTAATTGTCTATCTATTAACGAAATTAGTATCAATCCATAGGCTCATTTCAAAAACTTTGGTAATGAGTAAAATTTTTTTTTTTTTTTTTTCTAAGTCAAAATAGAGATACATACAACTTTGATGTAAAAAAAAATTTTTTTTTAAAATGAAAATTAAAGATTTAATTATTGTCAAAATTAATTTTAAATATGTCAAAGTATAGGTTATCGATGTTTTTGAATCGAATAAAGGTTGTTTGGATAAATTTGGAGGTTATTTTGATATTTTATTGATGTTTTTTTTTCAAAAAAAAAAAGACGCAGTAATGGCTAAAAATGGTTTACCCCTTCGTTTGGTATTATAAAAATGTAATCTAAGAAAGTTATGATGAAATTAAAAAATTTTTTTTTTTCATATTAATTTTTTCAACTTTTAACCCTAAAAATATATCGATGGTAACTTCAAAATTCAATGACTACTATTGATAACTTACAGATAATCATTGGTTCTACACATTATTCTTAGTGATCATCGATCTGGCGACTTAATTTAATCAAAAAAAAACACTCGTAGGAAGAGCAAAAATGAATTATAGGACTACTTGGTTGCTCTTCCTACGAGTAAAATTAAATTTGTAAGAGCATTTTTTCGATTAAATTTTTAGGTTAGAAATACGTTTAAACACTTAAAAACCATTAAATCACGAGTTCTATCGATTGTTAATAGTGAGTATCGATCCCAGAGGTCATTATAAAAATTTGAAATTTTGCTCTTCCAACGAGAAATTAATATGTAAAATTTTAAAAATAAAAGAGGGTTTTTTTTCTTATTTCTCTGAATTTTCAAATGGTTACTATTAGTAATATTCACGAAATTAGTAGTTCTATCTTTTGTTCTTAGCAAGTATCGAATTTGGACCGCATTTTAAAAACTTTTTTTTTACCATATAGTGAACCAAGTCGCTCGAAACTATGTACTCGGCGACATCACCAAATACATATATATAGGGAGTAGTATTTTTAAAAATGAAAAAATTTTTCTAAGTTAAAAAATACCATATAAAAAAATTAGAAATTTTCTAAGTTAAAAATACCATACTAAAAATTGCTAATTTTTCTAAGTTAGAAGAATGCATATAAATACTACTCAGGAACGTTATTTTAATATGAGAATTACTCATTTGGGGACCAGGACCTAATGAGAGGCAAGTTGCCTTGGGGTCAGCCAATGGGTATAGGTGGTCAAGGAACGCCATTTGTATGTGATATAAGGGATGGGTTGGGAGGGGTAATGGGGTGTAAGCTAGCTGATCAACCATAATGCGTAGCTTACAGGTCCTGTGAAGCAAATTAATATGAGAGCCAGCCAGCCGACCGACTGGCAAAGGCCAAGGAACGCCATTTGTATGAGAGACAGCCGCCAATTGACGGGTTGGTGGCACTAGGGAACGCCATTTGTATGGGGTGCGCTCATAGCCGGCAGCTGCCAACCAGCCGGTCAGCGCATAGTAAGCAAGCGCTCTTGGAACGCCATTTGTATAGTGCTCAACGGCCAGCCAGAGGCCGAGGGGCAGCTAAGGGGTTGTTGCACAGCGTCAGCCAGAGGACTGTATTAGAGGGCAAGTCAGAGGCCAGAGGCGAGGAGTTGGTGGTAGCAGCCACCAAGGAACGCAATTTATAATGTGTGGCATACACCAACCAGAGGTGGGACTCATTGGTTGGATAAAGCCAGCCCTCAGGCAAGGGATTGGCTGGGAGCTACATCAAGGAACGCAATTCGTGATATGTAGCATGCACTCGCCAGGGGTAGGACTCCCCATTTGGGAAGGCAAAGGCCAGCCCTCAGGCAAGGGGCCGGCTGAGTGCAGAGGAACGCCATTTGTTAGTATGGAGCGCCGCCGCCGCCGCCGACCGACCAAGCCGACAGCCAGTGGCCAGCCAGCTGACTCAGACGAAGCACTGAGCCAGCCCCAAGGCAAGCGCTTGTCGCTTACAAAGTTGTTCAAGTCCTCTCATAGTAAAAGGCATGGCCAGCCCATGGACAACCCTATGTACATAGAGGGTTTGGGGGGCTGGCAGAGCGCAATTTGTATGCCAGCTATGAGACAGGACGTGGCCATACCATATCACGCACACATTCTTGGCTGTGGCGTGAGGTCACCCAAGCGCTTGTCGCCTGTGTCTATGATGCGGGCAGCGGGCGTCCCCCATATAATTGTTTAGAGTCAAGTGTAAGGCTCATAGCCAGCTGCGGTCAGACCCCAGCCATTACCACCAAGAGAGCTCTGTTTGGGGGTGTTAGTGGCTGGAAATGGTGAAGGGCGTAGTGAGGCAGCCCCCTAAGATGGCCGGCTGCCGCCACTATCCTCACCAAAAAGGACAAATATGCTGCCAGCCAGTCGCATAGAGGGGCACTAGCAAGGGTTCACCAGGCCCTTAGCGCTAGATAGATGAACGCAATTTGAGCCCTTCGATGGTTGTTCAAGGCACATAAGCGACTGATTGGCGACCCCCAATGGATGACCGGTCAGCTTGGCATGGGTCAAGCCATACCTCGAAGTTTATATCGTCCTTTTCGAGCCGCTGGCCTCTGCCACATGATATGATTGGCGATCTGCTGCACCGCGTATAGCTAGTTATGTGGAGATACGTAGGACAGCAAGGAGCTGCAAGGATTGTGGATAAGCCAGTGAGCTAGTGTGGGGTGCTGCCAGAAAGAGTTGGCGGCGCCGTCCATTCATATTGGCTTTTCTTTTGGTGATGTGATCACATTGTCACTTGGCCATTACGCCAATGGGCGAGTGATTATATGTGGTCCTGATTGAAGTGAGATATGTCCTCGAGCCAGGTGGCGTGAGGCAAAGGGACCGCTACTCATGGATGCCCGCCAACATCCCGGTATTGAGGCTTGGTAGATTGCCGACCAGCTGTGGACGCCAGTCTAACACTAGGAAAATTTGGAATTTCTCTAAGTCATACACTGCGTATGACTTGGGGTCAAATTTTTCTAAGTTAGATAACCCATAGTAAAATTGGCAAATTTTTCTAAGTTATCGCCTAAATCCAAAGGAAGGGGGGAGTTTTTTCAAAATTTTTTGAGCAAAAAATTTCTAAGTCACATAGTATGTGGGTTTGGAACTTAGCCATTGAGCTCGGTGCTGACCCCAAATACATATACAAGAAGAGTGAGCAAGCAGATGCAACTGAAAGAAGCCAGCAGGCGACTGACAGCTGCAAGCTGCTACATCGATGCGTATGCATCGTATGGCTCATGTGGCGCCTAGCGTCACCTGGTGGGGCACTGTCTAACGGCAGTATCCGACCTGCTCTTCCGACCTTTTTGGCAGACAACCGGTGCTTGTATCAGTCGAGTCTAACCCCGTGGATTAGCCCGCGGAAACCCTCACATATTGATACCACCAAAACAACCTGTGGACTGGCTAGCGACGGCATGGTGAGCTTTATTGACCACCTGCAGCAGCGAAATCATCCCACGAATACCATACCTGCCCATCGTCCTGTCACCTGCTGGCTAGACGATGGGATGCGACCATGGACGTAGCAAGCGCCTAAAAAACCTGTGCTACAAAAAAAAAAAAGGCCAGCCTATTGCCGTGAGGTGATTTTCTGCGATTCCTTTTTTTTCAATAGAAATGGTGGGAAATGGCAGGCGACAAGCTCTAGGGCTGGTTTGCATGCGGATTCCAAAAAATGGCGACGGACGAGGGGATATAAGGGCATCAGCTGACAAAAAAGTCGGTGCACCTACTCAATGTCATGGTTAACGGCCAGATTTAATTATCTGCAGTCAACAATGTAACATTTGATGAATTTTTTTAATCCAGGGCTTGAACTAGTGGGGTAAAACCTGCGGTTAGTGACCTCTGTAAAAAGGGGTCGCTAGTCCATACGATAAAAAAAACAATCGTTTAATACGCAATTGACAATTCAATCCTAGTGATTAATTTCATGACCGTCTTACCGATCATTAACTGGTTGATCCTGCCAGTAGTCATATGCTTGTCTCAAAGATTAAGCCATGCATGTCTAAGTATAAATTCTTGTACGATGAAACTGCAGACGGCTCATTACAACAGTGATAAACTAATAGACTTTCGGGTTTTACCTTTTGGATAACCGCAGTAAATCGGGGCTAATACATACAAGCGATGGGCGACTGGCAACGGAAGCTCAGCGATTATTAGCATTCTACCAATGCCTTCGGGTTTTGGGTGAGACCGAATAATATTGCAGATCGAGGATTTATCTTCGACAAGTCTACTGTGTCACTGCCCTATCAACTTTCGATGGTACGGTATTGGCCTACCATGGTTGTAACGGGTAACGGGGAATTAGGGTTCGATTCCGGAGAGGGAGCCTGAGAAATGGCTACCACTTCTACGGAAGGCAGCAGGCGCGCAAATTACTCAATCCCAATACGGGGAAGTAGTGACAATAAATATCAATGCTTATCCTTTTTGGAGGGCAATTGAAATGAACACAAATTAAAACTCTTAATTAACACAATTGGAGGGCAAGTCTGGTGCCAGCAGCCGCGGTAATTCCAGCTCCAATAGCATATACTAAAGTTGTTGCAGTTAAAAAGCTCGTAGTTGAAGTTAAAGGTTTATTGGGTAAACGTCGTTTGTCACTTCGTGATTAAACTGACTCCAGTATCTCTTTCTTAATAGTTCAGCTTTCGTTATCTTTGATAGCGGTTGTTTGGACATTTCACTGTGAGAAAATTGTGGTGTTTAAAGCAGGCGTCTCGCCTGATCTTTTGCAGCATGGTATGATGAAACATGACATTTTACGCTATTGGTTTGCGTCTAAAGTGTAATGATTAATAGGGATGGATGGGGGTGTTCATATTGGTGGGCGAGAGGTGAAATTCGTTGACCCTATCAAGATGAACTTCTGCGAAAGCATTCACCAAATACTTCCCCATTAATCAAGAACGAAAGTTTGGGGATCGAAGACGATCAGATACCGTCGTAGTCCAAACTATAAACTATGTCGACCAGGGATCGGTTAAAATTTTTTTAAAATTTAATCGGCACCTTGTGAGAAATCACGAGTGTTTAGATTCCGGGGGGAGTATGGTCGCAAGTCTGAAACTTAAAGGAATTGACGGAAGGGCACACAATGGAGTGGAGCCTGCGGCTTAATTTGACTCAACTCGGGAAAACTTACCAAGCTAAGATATAGTAAGGATTGACAGACTAAAAGATCTTTCATGATTCTATAAGTGGTGGTGCATGGTCGTTCTTAGTTGGTGGAGCGATTTGTCTGGTCAATTCCGATAACGGACGAGACCTCGACCTGCTAACTAGTAGTATTTATTAGTCGATATAGGCGATAGCTTTTCTGGGGTTTGGAATGATTTCGGTCATCTCCGGCTTCAAGGAGTGTGTAGTCTGACTCGATAGGTACGAATTTAAAAACTTCTTAGAGGGACTACCTGCCTCAAGCAGGCGGAAGTCCGAGGCAATAACAGGTCTGTGATGCCCTTAGATACCTTGGGCCGCACGCGCGCTACAATGTAGGAAACAAAAAGGCTCCTGGTCCGGAAGGATTGGGTAATCATTTGAATTTCCTACGTAACTGGGATTGATCTTTGTAATTATTGATCATAAACGAGGAATTCCTTGTAAGCATAAGTCATTACCTTATGCTGAATATGTCCCTGCCCTTTGTACACACCGCCCGTCGCTCCTACCGATCGAATGATACGGTAAAGTTAACGGATCGTTTTATCTGTGGCAACACTGATATAAATTAAAAGTTATTTAAATCTCATTGTTTAGAGGAAGGAGAAGTCGTAACAAGGTATCCGTAGGTGAACCTGCGGATGGATCATTTTTTATCATTTTTAAATACAAATTGGTGACATTGCCTAAGTATTATTGAAAGTAATTGGATGTTTTCTAAGCATTCAATTATTAGTATATGATACTCAAGACTGTTATCCCACTGTTTGAGTAAATTCTTTCTAATGTGTTTATAATTTGATAATCAATGTCTTTAGCCTCTTTATGAGAGGTTAAGAATCCATCTAGCAATGTTACATATGTTACGTACTATCCCAACTCAATAATTTCTCACACACGCCTTTTGGTGTGTGTGTTTTTCTAGAACGTCAAACACAACATTTAAAATATGTTTACAGATTTTAAATCTTTAAGCATAAACGGTGGATACCTCGACTCCTAAATCGATGAAGACCGTAGCAAACTGCGATAATTCACTTGAATTGCAGCCTACTGGGATAGTTGAAACGTTGAACGCACATGATGACATCGGTCCTTTTGGATTAGGTGTTATATTTGGGTGAGAGTCACTTAGACAAATTGGTTGTCGATGAGTGGGCCTTCGGGTTTGCTCATTGCGATGCAGGTGGATGTCTTGGCTGGGGGTAGCCGCAAGGTCCTCGGAGATTTCATTGCTTGCCGGGGTGATTCCCCTGTTTGTTTATCTGTCATAGTAGAAAAGTTACAACAATATTGATAACTAACCGGAGAATAGTGTTCTAGTCTCTTACTTCTATTGATGCTTTCTTTCATCGCTTTGTTATGATGCTTTTTTTGAAGCTCTCTTTGATTATTCCTTTTTTTAGGTTTTCTTTTTGTTTTTTCTTTTTCAAACTTTTTTGTTCTGACTTTTTTCAAACTTTTTGTTTTTCTTATGTTGAAACTTTTGATTTCTTTTTGATTCTCTTTCTTTTCATTCGCCGTCAAAAAGCGGGTGGGAAGTTTGGGGAGAGGAAAGGGAAAGGGAGCTTTGGGGTAAGAGGGGGGAAAAGCGAGGGATTAGAAGGGGGGAAAGAGGGGGGATTAGAAGGGGGGAAAAGCGAATTTTTAAATGGGAATGAGAGGATGAGAGAGATGATAATTAAGAGGATGACATTGGGATGGGTTAGATAGATAGAAGTCAAGAAAAACTTCTTTTTAGATGGACAACGAGTATTATTGTCACCAACAATCGATCGTTTTAACGAAACATAGTTGGAGGGCATTAAGATATCGCGACCTACTAATTAGAGGGGTAGGACATTGGGTTGGACCTTCAATGTAATGGACGCTATGGTTATACAGATTAGTGGTATTGTGGGCATGTATGTATTAATGCTTATATGTGGTTTATGCTGATGTAAAAAGTTGGTATAAATTGGGTATATAGTGTTTATGTTATGCGCCATTCGTGAAGTGCAGAGTTTGTTCGGCTCTCATAAGGCTCTTTAATATCCAAAATTTTACTGCTGCCTCACCTAGATAAGATTACCCGCTGAACTTAAGCATATCAGTAAGCGGAGGAAAAGAAACTAACAAGGATTCCGTCAGTAACGGCGAGTGAAGACGGAATAGCCCAAGGTTCAATCTTGGATCTCTTCGAGGTCGGGAAATTTGACCTATGGACTGATGGAGCCCGCTGCTATACCTGTTAATTCCGTTTGGAATTTCGAGTCATAGAAGGTGATAACCCTGTTGGCAGTGTTATAGTAGCTGGACTTTGCCATTAGCTCCACGAGTAGGAATGTCTGAAAGTGCATTCTGAATGGGTGATAAGATTCATCCAAGGCTAAATATATGTTAGGAGATCGATAGCATACAAGTACCGTGAGGGAAAGGTGAAAAGAACTTTGAAAAAAGGTTTAAAAGTATTTGACACCGTTTATGTGGAAGCGTTTACTTGGACCCCTCATTATGATGTTGGTTTAGCTCTAATTCTTAGATGGTCAAAGTAGAGTGTTACGTGCTGATCAAAAGGTAACGGATGCTTGAATATCATTGGCTGTCGACGAGGAAGGTACTCTAAATCAACCAGTTACTAACGGGTGAGATTTGATGTTTAGAAAATGGAAGATGAGGCTTATTGGCTTGCTGGTGGCTCGCTTCTAATAATGGGCATTGAGTTTCATTAAGATTGCAAAGTGGAGGCAATTTACTATTAGCGGTTATAGATTTTGTTTGTATGGCTTGGTCTTGTCTGTAGGTCATTTTCGGATGATCTGCAGCTTCTCTGAACGTGCGGGCTTAATGTTGTGGCTCTAGTAGTGTCTACATATCGTTAGAATAGGTCCAATAAATGTCCCGTCTTGAAACACGGATCAAGGAGGCTGTTTTATGTGCGAGCGTAAGAGTAATTAAAACTCTGACGCATATTGAAGGAGAGAATATTCCAAAAGATCGTGACTAAGGTCGCCTTCTGTAAGGAATGCCCGAATCATGAGAACTCTGTTTCGAAAGGATTTGCGGTTGAGCACATAGAATGGGACCCGAAAGGTTGTGAACTATGCCTGAGGAAGGCGAAGTCAGGGGAAACTCTGATGGAGGCTTGTCGCAATGCTGACGTGCAAATCGCTTGTCTAACTTGGGTATAGGGGCGAAAGACTAATCGAACAACCTAGTAGCTGGTTCCTTCCGAAGTTTCCCTCAGGATAGCTGGAGCAGTGGTCTAGTTCCATCTTGTAAAGACAATGATTAGCAGTTTCGGGGGCGTAATGCTCTCAGCTGATTCTCAAACTCTGAACGGGTGGGTATCATGCCGATTCACTTTGTTGGATTTCGGTATTAAGTTGTATATATATAACGAAAAATAGAAGCTCTTAGTGGGCCATTTTTGGTAAGCAGAACTGGCGATGTGGGTTGAACCAAATATTGGGATAAGACGTCTAACATTCACTAATAGATACCACAAAAGGTGTTAGTTCATTAAGACAGCAGGACGGTGGCCATGGAAGTCGGTATCCGCTAAGGAGTGTGTAACAACTCACCTGCCAAATGGACTAGCCCTGAAAATGGATGACGCTAGCAGTGGATGGTCGATGCCCAATCGTTAAAAGAAGTGATAATACTTTTAACGTGTAGGAAGGCGTGAAGTTAACGTCAAAGCTTGAATGTGAATTTGAGTGGAGTTGACTTTAGTGCAGATCTTGATGGTAGTAGCAAATATTCAAAAGAATTTACTTTGAAGGCCGAAGTGGG